TATTCGTAATACCAGTCGTCATACTAACACTAAAGCTACCAATAGTAATACTATCACGGATACCGTTACTGAGAACATCAGTCATAATATTGCCACTACAAAGTAATACTACCAATACTGATGCTACCAACCCTGATACTGGATATCGTAATGGTACACAGACGAAAAGGAGGAGGCGGAGGAGGAGGAGGAGGACGAGGAGGAAGATGAGGAGGATGATGAAGAGGCGGCGGCGGGGGCGGTGGCGGGGGGGGGCGGAGGAGGAGGAGGAGGAGGAGGAGGAGGAGGCGGAGGCGGAGGCGGAGACGGAGGCGGAGGAGGAGGAGGAGGAGGACGAGGCAACCGAGGAACACGAGGAGGAGGAGGAGCGTAAGAAGACGGATGAGGAGGAGGAGACGGAATAGGAGGCAGAGGAGGAGGAGGCGGAGGAGGAGGAAGAGGAGGAATAGGAGGAGGACGCTAAGGAGAAGGAGGAGGAAGAGGAGGAGGAGGAAGCGGAGGCGGAAGCGGAGGAGGCGGCGGAGGAGGAGGAGGAGGAGAATGAGGGAGCTGATGAGCAGGAGGAGCAGGACAAGGAGGACGATGAGGAGGAGGAGGAGGAGCACGAGGAGGAGGGGGAGGAGGAGGATGGGGAGGAGCAGGAGGGTGAGAAGGAAGCGGAGGCGGCGCGGTGGCTGCGTCGCTGGCGGCTGCGGCGGAGGAGGATGCGGATGACGCGGATGAGAAGGAGGACGAGGATGATGAGAAGGTTGATGATGATGATGAGCAGGAGGAGGAGGACGAGGAGGAGGAGGAACATGAACAGGAGCAAGAGCAGGAGGAGGAAGAGGCGGAAGGAGGAAGATGAGGAGGATGAGGAGGAGGGGGAGGAGGAGTAAGCGGAGGCGGAGGCGGAGGAGGAGGATGAGGAGGAGGAGTAGGCGCAGTGTGAAGAGGAGGAGGACGGCGCGGCGGAGGAGGAGGAGGAGGAAGCGGAGGACGCGGAGGAGGAGGATAAGAAGGATGAGGAGGAGAAGGAGGATGATGAGGAGGAGGAGGAGGAAGCGGATGATGATGATGATGATGATGAGGAGGGCAATTAATAATATAGTAACGCGAATAAGATTAGTACGTCGGCTAAGACGGGTCATACGAGTACAACTACTACGAATATTAGTGCGACTAAGAAGGGTAGTACGGTGACCGCTACGACGAAGAACACGATCAGCCAGGCTAATCATGCGACTACGGGTAATCTTAAGCCGGCGAATACTAAGCCCACGCGCATGATACGCATACGACGAACACTCCGAGTACGACTACTACCAAACTGCGAACACTACGAATACTACTACTACTACTACTACTACTACTACTACTACTACTACTACTACTACTACTACTACTACTACTACTACTACGACTACTACGACTACGACTACGACTACGACTACTACTACTACTACTACTACTACTACTACTACTACTACTACTACTACTACTACTACTACTACTACTACTACTACTACTACTACTACTACTACTACTACTACTACTACTACTACTACTACTACTACTACTACTACTACTACTACTACTACTACTACTACTACTACTACTACTACTACTACTACTACTACTACTACTACTAACTACTACTACTAAGAATACACCTAATATCAACACCATGCACACGAACAAGGAAGCAGCGCACGAAGACACTAACATGAATACTACGAACACGAATGCGAACACGGATACATACGAATCCTAGTCATATTAATACGAGTATAACGAAACACTTGCGAGTAATGTTACCACAAATGGTAAGACAAAGGCGTCTGCTACTACAAAACATGTTACTACATATATAACAAATCTACAACCCACACGAGCAAACATACGAACACCAAGACGGCTAAGACGAATCACTTGTAACACAACTACAACCAAGACTAGCAACAACACCAACAAGGGACAAAACGCACAAGAGGAGGAGGAGGATGAGGAGGAGGAAGCGGAGGAGGATGAGGAAGAGGAGGAGGAGTAGGAGGAGGAGAAGGAGGAGGAGGACGAGGAGGAGGAGGAGGAGGACGATGAGTAGGAGGAGGAGGAGGACGTTGAAGAGGAGGAGGAGGAAGAGGAGGAGGAGGGGGAGGACGAGGACGAGGAGGATGAGGACGAGGAGGAGGAGGAGGAAGAGGAGGAGGAGGACCAGTGTAAGACCAAGTGTCATCAACGATGTTGGAATGAACCCTTCTTCCAAGCTCCCTCTTCGTAAGCCGCTACAACGGTTCATTTACATTGAGGGAACTGCTTCGTGGGAAGACAACCGTTTGAAGATCCTGAAGCGTGCCAGAAGATTGCCCTCGGGATGCCAACGCCATGTATCAACCTGACTGCTGACTCTCAACGATCCGGAATCGTGCAAGAACGCGGTTTTTGGGATTGCGACACCGCGAATCAACATAATTGTTGCGCCCGCATAATCCTAAATCTTTCCAAAACACAATTTTTCAGAACGAATATGCAGGGCGCTAAGGCGAGAGCCACATTTTGAAAAGAACCGCCCTCGATCTGTGAAGCTCTTGCAAATGTTTTAAACGAATTTTCGCGGCGCTGAAGCGAGAGACACATTTCGAAAGCGACCCGCCCTCCATCCGTGAAGCTCTGGCAATTTGTTAAAGCGAATGTGCGAGGCGCTGAGGCGATAGCCACATTTTGAAAAGGAGCCACCCTCCATCAGTGAAGCTCTTGCAAATTGTTAAAACGAATGTGCGTGGCACTAAGGCGAGAGCCACATTTTGAGAACAACCCGCCCTCAATCCGTAAGTTCTTGCACATTTTTAGAGCGACTGTGCGCGTCGCTGAGGCGAGAGCCACATTTCGAACGCGACCTGCCCTCAATCCGTGAAGCTCGTAATTAACCCAAAAAAAAGGAATGTGCGCGGCGCCAAGGCGAGAGCCACATTTAGAAAGCGAGCCGCCCTCCATCTGTGAAACTGTTTTCAGTCATAAGTGGTGAGGAAATCACAGGCGAAACGCCCGGTCCGCCCTAAAAACTGGCCACGGGGTGCGAAAGGGGGAATTTTTAGGAAAGGAATAGAAGATGAGGATGAGGATGAGGAGGATGAGGAGGAGGATGAGGAGGGGGAGGAGGAGGAGGAGGAGGAGGAGGAGGAGGAGGAGGACGATGAGAAGGAGCAGGAGGAGGAGGAGGCGGAGGAGGAGAAGGAGGAGGAGAAGGACGATAGGGAGGAGGAGGAGGAAGAGGTGGGGAGGAGGTGGAGGAGGAGGAGGAGGAGGAGGAGGCGGAGGAGATTTAATGCAATGAGGAATGGCCATGACGTGGAGGCACAGGCGGGGCAGGAGGCGTTACGGAGTTGATGATAATGCCATCATGTCGATTCAGATAGAAGCTGTGGACACAACGGAAACGGGCGTGGCCAACCAGCTACGCCTATGGCCTAAGGAGCCCCCCCCTGGACATTCGACGTTATGTTGTTGTGGAATTCTCATTTCTGAAGAATAATTATTGTTGATCTCCCCCGTCCGGTGCACTGCTTTTTTCGATTGAAGTGCCCTTCCCAGGGCTCGCACCTTTTTTCCTTATCAGGGAAAATCTTGAGGGTCAAACTGTGTCGTTGGCCCCCGGTTTACAACAACAACAACAACGGCTCCCGCCGGATACTTCCTCAAATGTATTGAAAATCGCGCTCTCGCTTGGGACTTCGGTGCAATTTACCACCGGATCGCGGCTCCCGGTTGATACTTCCTCACAATTTATTAAAGAATCACGCTCTCTCTTGGGACTTCCTCGCAACTTACCACCGAATCGCGGCTCCCGCCTGATACTTCCACACAATTTATTCAGATGCCGCTCCTCGACACTCAGGAATCGCGCTCCCGCTACATATTGCCTGGCGGTTCAAGCAGAATTTACGCTTCAACGACCCGCCCGCTCGACCCGCCTGTCTGGGCCTGCCCGCCCGACCAGCCCGTTAGGGACTGCAGTCGCCGCTCGCTGCCCTTCGCCCGCCTTCGATGCCCCTCGCTGCCCGTACTGGTTCCGCGGTCGCCTTCGCTCGCTGCCCTTCGTGGCCCCGTTGCTGCCCTTCGTGGCAGGGAATGAATATACCCCCCAAAAGGGGGTACGATCGAAGACGAAGAGGGCGGGTATCCAGGGTTTGGGATATGCATATTGAATGACACGTGAGCAGATAAGAGCGAACAGTCTTAACATTATTGTTGTTGTTGTTGTTGTTGTTGTTGTTGCTGCTGCTGTTGTTCAAAACGCGGCTCCCCCGAAGTATGGTCCCCATGCTGGGGACCAGCTTCTCATCCTGAGCCGTTTTTTGATTACCCCCGGGCCCTGTAAGCCTCCCGATGCCGACCACGTCTTAAACCTTTTGTCGCTTTCTTTGTTCGTGCCAAGAGGATGCCAGGGTCGTTGTGGTTTGAACATCTGCAATCTGGGAAGACTTGCTGGCACGCTGTCCGGGAGGGTCTGGGGGACTGGGCTTGAGCTCGATGCCATTCGTGATTTGTGTCCGCGGTGGCTCAAAGTTCATTCCAGGTCCTCCGAGGAGGAAAAATTGATAGCAAATCGTGGGAGCCTTGTAACCCTCTTAATTCCGTCTTTAGCGTCGATTCGCGTCGACTAGCGTTTGGGAGTCTATGCGATAGCGCCGATTCAGCGTCGGTCGGCATCGATTAGTGTAGATATAGCGTCGATTAGCGTCGATTAATCGTCGACTAGCGTCGATTCGCAGGGGCCAACCAACAAGAGGGTACGGAAGGCTCCCGTGAGTTGCCACCGATGCAGGAAAAGGTACCAATACCGCTGATCGCCCTGGAGAGCCCTCGTCGCCGCGGCTGGACTCTCCTGGAACTTCTGGCCAGACGGCACCCGAGGGGAGGTCCAGGATGTAGAGTCAACCCGCATTGTAAGGATGGGCAACCTTCTCAATGATACCCTTGCATCCTTGCCTCCTCGGCTCATCCTTGGCCACTTTCGTTGCCCGCGCCCCGCTCGGAAAGCTTTGGAATGGCCTTCCAAGGCCCTTGCATCCTTATCGCGCATCCTTATGATGCAGGCCGACTGTAATGTTATCGGTATCTTTTGTTTCCTCGGGTCCACGCTCACCAAGTAGCTTCGGGTTTCGGCCGCAGCCAGGGGGCGCCGAGGCATGTCGAAGAAGACCGCTGTTGGCATCGACTTGGGTACAACTTACTCCTGCGTCGGGGTGTGGAAGAATGACGGTGTCGAGATTATTGCCAACGATCAGGGCAATCGCACGACGCCATCGTACGTCGCCTTCACCGACAGCGAGCGCTTGATCGGGGACGCGGCCAAGAACCAGGTGGCCCGCAACCCAGAGAACACGGTCTTCGACGCGAAGCGGCTTATCGGTCGCAAGTTCGCGGACCCGATCGTGCAGGCAGACATCAAGTTATGGCCTTTCAAGGTCGAGGCGGGGACGGGCGACAAACCGATGATCGTTGTGACCGCACAGGGCGAGGAGAAGAAGTTTCACCCCGAGGAGATCTCTTCGATGATTCTGCTCAAGATGAAGGAGACTGCCGAGGCCTACTTGGGGGCCAAGTGCAACGATGCTGTCGTGACTGTCCCAGCCTACTTCAACGACTCCCAGCGTCAGGCTACTAAAGATGCCGGGACGATCTCTGGTATGAACGTTCTTCGAATTATCAACGAGCCCACTGCGGCGGCGATCGCGTACGGCCTCGATAAGAAGGGCAGCGGGGAGAAGAACATCCTTATCTACGACATGGGTGGGGGCACCTTCGACGTTTCCTTGTTGACTATCGAGGACGGTATCTTCGAGGTGAAGGCCACCGCAGGGGATACACACCTTGGGGGCGAGGACTTTGACAACCGCATCGTGGACTTCTGCATGCAGGACTTCAAGCGCAAGAACAGGGGTAAGGACCTTGCAGGCAACCAGCGTGCCATCCGCCGCCTGCGGACACAGTGCGAGCGTGCCAAGAGGACCCTTTCTTCATCCACGCAGGCCACGATCGAGATCGATTCGCTCTTTGACGGCATCGACTTCTCTTGCTCGTTGTCGCGAGCCCGTTTCGAGGAGCTCAACATGGACTACTTCCGCAACTCCATGGGCCCTGTCGAGAAGTGCTTGCGCGACAGCGGCATCGACAAGAGGAACGTGCACGAGGTAGTTTTGGTTGGTGGTTCTACGCGCATCCCGAAGGTGCAGGCCATGATCCAGGAGTTCTTCAACGGCAAGGAGCCCAACAAGTCCATCAACCCAGACGAGGCCGTGGCCTTCGGCGCCGCCGTGCAGGCCGCCATCCTCACCGGCGAGGGCTCCTCGCAGGTCCAGGACCTCCTGCTGCTCGACGTGACGCCGCTGTCGATGGGCCTGGAGACCGCAGGTGGGGTGATGACCAAGCTGATCGAGCGGAACACTACGATCCCCACCAAGAAGGGCCAGACCTTCACCACCTACGCGGACAACCAGCCAGGAGTGCTCATCCAGGTGTTCGAGGGCGAGCGCGCGATGACCAAGGACAACAACCTGTTGGGGAAGTTCCACCTGGACGGTATCCCTCCCGCCCCGCGCGGCGTTCCGCAGATCGAGGTGACGTTCGACATTGATGCGAACGGCATCTTGAATGTGTCCGCACAGGACAAGTCCACCGGGAAGTCCAACCAGATCACCATCACCAACGAGAAGGGGCGGCTGTCCCAGGCGGAGATCGACCGTATGGTCCAGGAGGCTGAGAAGTATCGCGCCGAGGACGAGTCGAACAAGGCAAAGATCGAGGCAAAGAATGGCCTCGAGAATTACTGCTTCACCATGCGCAACACCCTGAATGAGGAGAAGCTCAAGGAGAAGTTCGAGGACGGAGACAAGGAGAAGATCGAGAAGGCGGTCCAGGACACCCTCGACTGGCTCGACAAGAATCAGCTGGCCGAGAAGGACGAGTTCGAGGCAAAGCAGAAGGAGCTTGAGGGCATCGTCAACCCGATCATGATGAAGGTGTACCAGGCCCAGACATCCGGCGGCTCGATCTGTTCCAGACATGGGCCCCTGGATCTCCAGACCCCTTCCTACGGGCCGCCTTGTCATCCCGAGTCGTTTTTGACGCTTCTTGGGCCTGAGATTGGTCCCCCAGGGGCCTGTCATGGCAAACGGCCCGCCGCCGTCGCAAGGTTCTCCCTCCCGAGCTGTCTGGAGGCACTCCTCGAAATCTTGGGTGTTGCGGAACATCTGTCCGCGTCAACGCAGCGGCGACGCCAGCGCGGGCGCTCAAGGACGAAGGCCAGCAACGGTCTGGGCCAGGCCAACCTTGGAATGCATCTCTTCTGTCGGACAGCGGAGATCGCTCAAGCTAGAACGATCTGCGCGGTGTCAGAAACCATCGTCCAATTCTCATCGTCAGATGCATCCCGACCCGACCCTGGCTGGGGGACAGCGTGGATTAGCTCTGCCAGTTCGGGGGCGGCCAAGAGGGGGTTGATGTCTTGGGGGGGCGTGGATATCCTGGCGGGGGTCATGAGATCTCCCCAGATTTCATGGCGCCTCCTCTTACTCCAATGCGTCCCTGGTCGCCCTCCCTGGGCCGAGCACATGCCGATGGCCATGCTTTCCCCGCCCCCCCCTCTTCTTGGACGCCCCCCTGCTTGGACCCCCCCCGACCAGCGCACCCCGTCCAGGGTGGGGAGTGGTGCTGCGAGGCCCGACGGAGACGGCACCCGTCCCCACCACGGGGCGGGGGGGGGATATATGGCCCGGTCAGCGGAGCCACGAGCCCCCTCGTGCAACAACGGTGCACCCGCGCGCCCAGGGCCAGGGGCCAGTGCTTTGGCAGCAGATCGTGGGAGCCTTTAGGGGGCCACATGCGAACCCTACCCCTGCCCCCCCACGATTTCTGAGGGGGGAGGGTGGGGTTCACTTCGTTCGGGACCTCCCGAGCGAAGTGAACCCCACCCTCCCCCTCGGAAATCGTGGGGGGTAGGGGTAGGGTTCGCATGTGGCCCCCTAGCCTAGTGGCCCTCGCAATTCCGTCTTCGGCGTCGATCAGCGTCGACTAGCGCCGGGGAGCCGAGGAGGCAGCGCCAATCTAGCGTCGGTTGGCGTCGAGCAGCTGCGATTTGGCGTCGGTTCAGCGCCGCGGAGCGTCGATTCGCAGGAGCCGGCAAGACGGTATGGGAGGCTCCCACGAGCTGCCAACGAACGTTGTGCAAGACTTGGGCTGTTGTGCCCCCGTGGCCAAGGCCTCCCAGGGATGTTTTGATTTCTTCCCCGGATCGGCGTCGGCACGGCAGGGCCAGGCCGTTCGGCGGGCTCGCGTCGTGCCGATGCGGCGGCGACCCCCCGCGCGGGCACTCGCAAAAGGCTGAACGCCGCGGGTGGTCCGGCAGCGCTCGCCACAGGGCGATTCTGCGCGGTCGGGAAACCGCGATCCTTCGGGAGCGGCCCAGGGCGGGCTGATGACTCGGGGGGGGGGGAATCGTGGCGCCTCTTCCCATTTCACTGCGTCCCTGGTCCACCCCTGGGCGGCGCACGCGCCTCCGACCCTGATTTGCGAAGCCCCTTCTCGGGCGCCCCGGATCGTTCAGGGGTGCACGATGCACGCGATGTCAGAGGCCAGTGCAGCAGCCGGCGCGGCGCGGACCAGCCGCGGCCGTGCTGCTGCGGTGCACGGCGAGAGGGCCCCCCCCCGCAGGCTACAGAGGGGGCCGGCCCCGGGCGCCGCTCCCCAGGGAGTCTCCGAAGCCGTCGAGGGTGCCGGACTGCCGTGGAGACCCATGCCAAGAAGCACCCTGCTTGCCTCCAGGGTACAGTCAACCCGCATAGTAAGGATGCGGTACCCTTGCATCCTTGCCTCCTCGGTCCATCCTTCGCCACTTTCGTCGGCCGCGCCCCGCTCGAGAAGCCTCGAAATGGGCGTCCAAGGTCCTTGCATCCTTATCGCGCATCCTTACTATACGGGTTGACTGTACCCTGGGTTTCTCGGGTTTCGAGGGTTTTGCGGTGGAGAGCGCGGCGCTCCCAAAACCAAAGATCGATGGACGCCCTGGGGTCTCAGGGTTGGGTTTCTTGCGGAGGTTTTTTTTCTTTGGGCTGGCCTCCTTTTTCCCACACTGCCCCCTGGCATCGCTCGGACGTGTGCATTTTTCCTTCGGCGAGAACCATCGAGGAGCATCCTTGATCTTTTGGCGAAAAAACCACGCACGAAACTGAACAAGAAACACAGGAAATGGACGTCCGAGCGATTTCCAGGCCCAGACTCGGCGGCGTGCCCACGGGAGAGGTCAGGGGGGGAGCGGGCCTCCCCGGAAGGCTCGGAAGGCCCCCGGCCCTCTGCGAGGTTGTCCAGGGCTTCTCCGACGAAGACGGGCGGCTGCTCCAAAGGGGGCCTCTGCTCCTCCTCCTCCTCCTCCTCCTCCTCCTTCTTCTCCGAAGGGGGCCTCCGAGGAGCCCCGCCGCCTTCTGAGGAGGCGTGCCCCCTCTCGCTTCCGCCCTCCCTGGGCGCGGGGTCGACAGACATCCGTTGCTGTGTTTCTTGTCTGCGCCACGCGGCTTCACAGAGGTCTGGATCCCTTCCAGGGGACATGCTTCTCATCGCTGCGCTGCTTTCCGGACGGCCCTTGGGCCCGGCGAGGGCCCCCGGGTACCGGGAACAGCCAGAAACGTCCCGTCGTTTTCGTGTTGTTTCCACGACCCGAAGATGTCAGACTGCAGTCAGGACGCTGAGATGAGGACCCTTTGGGCTCAAGAGGTGCTCTGGTTTTCAAGCCGTTCCTCAGATTTTGGGGGCAAGCAGCAACTGTTCGCCAGCGCGGGCCCTGAACAGGAAGTCGTTGCACTCTGGCTGTGTCAGCTATGTGGTCTGGTGTAAGCTATGAAAGGGGCAGTTTGCGTGGTGCAGGCTATAGAGGCGGCAGCGAATGCTGGACGGGCGGCAACTGGCAGCAACTGGCCGGAACGTGGCAACCCCCCGCGACATACCCGCAGGCGGCAACGGGCAGCAACGGGGCAGCAACAGGCCAGAACGTGGCGAGGCCCCGGGACACCCGTCCACTGGAACTGCAAGGGAGTCTCGACGCGCTCCCCGAAGGCCGACTTTTCCTCCCGAGTCTTTGTCGGACGGTCCTGGGGCCAGCCGAGGGCCTCCAGAGACCGAAAAGGGCGACACGCCTCTGGCTCGTTCTGTCCCCCACGTTGGACCTCTGGGGAGTCTGGCTCGGGACTGGAAACGGGCACACCAAACAAAAGAGCAGGCCGCCGGCGGCGGCGGGATGCCGGAGGGCGGCATGCCGGGCGGCGGCTTCGGCGGGGCCGCCCCGGGCGGCGGCGCCGGGCCCACCGTGGAGGAGGTGGACTGAGCCGACCGGGGGCGCTGGCAGGGGGGGGGGCGGTACTCTGCCAGTCGATGGTTCAAGGAGGGGGTCCTGAGGGATGGGGTCATCAGGATAGGAAGGGATCCAGCGGTGGATTTTCACTGTTCGAGGCACCTCGTCCTTGGGACCCCATGCCTCAGGACCCCATCTTTGAGCCCCATCTTTGAACCACCGAGCCAGGGAAGGGAGGAGGCTGGTACAGCCAAGCTGCTGAAACAAGGAACAGCTCTGATTCGGAAGGGGCTCGATGTTCCTTACGTCCTTCCGTGGTTGTTCCTCTAGCCCTTCTCGTGCACCCAGGCTTTTTTGAAGCCACAGAGGGCTTCGTTCCTCATTTGGCGTTTCTTATTTCAGCAGCCCGACAGTAAGGCTCCGGGTTGCGCATAGACAGCACCCCCCCCCCCAGGCAGTCCTGGGTGGTTTCAACAGGCCCTTTGCGTGTTCCCAGCTGGGGGGGTGAGGCCGCGCTGTTTCTGTCCCCCCCTCTTTGTTCATTCAAGCTTCGCGCGGCCCGCTTAGCTTCGACCGGAAGAGGTGCGCTCTCGACCCGCGAATCAAGAGAGTATTCCCAGCTGGCCCCGGCAGGGCCCCCGAGTGGTCCAGGGCGGTCTCAACACTCTGGCGCCGCCTCCGGCGGCGCCCCTCGGGCGCTCCGCAGCAAGCAGAGGGGGTCGGTTAGCAATTGGTGTGAGGCTGTCATGTCCTCAGCTCAGGCTCTAGAGCACGTTCGCGTGCGCCAGCGTCTGGTAGTCGATGAGGGAGCGCCGATTTAGCAACATATCAGCGTTCATTTAGCGTGGGCTGCCGTCGGTCAGCGTCGGTCGACGCCAATTCGCAAGAGCCAGCAAGATGGCATGGGAGGCTCGCTCGCACGAGTCGCCACAGAAGGGGGGGGACTGCCAGGTGAGGGAGGAGGCCTGCCCTTACCTCGCGTTTTTCTCGAGGGGCTCGACGTGTGTCGGGCACTGGGAGAACGCCCACCCAAACAGGTCGAATGAGGAAATCCTTTCGGGTTCACTCGATATTGGCATTCGAGTGTGCTGCTGCAGTGCCCGATCGGTTTCGCTAGTTGGCGTGCTTTTCGCCAGAGACATTCGGTTCTTCTTGGACGTAAATGAGCAATTTCGTTTGGGTGCACTCGGACTGCGGTGCTGCGCCCACCCGTGGAGTGCCCCAGCAGCTTTCGCTAAATGGCATTTCGATCCTCAAATGCACACCACGTCCTCGCTCGGAGGAGGATCTCGGTGTGCAGCATCGGAGGCCAGAGTGCCAAGGAGTTCGGAGGAGGATCTCGGTATGCAGCATCATGGCGGAGTTTCTCCGCCGTTTTCCAGCCCTTGCGGGCCCTCGCCGGGCCCCGGGACAGTCAAACATTGCTCGGGATGGAACGTTGGCTCCTGGGGAAGGGTCAGAGCCTCCCGGGCCCCCGTACAGAACAGTTCAAGACATCGCATCTTTGAGACCCAAGAGATCGGGCATCGGAGGAGGAGGAGGAGGAGGAGGAGGAGGAGCAGGAGCAGGAGCAGGAGCAGGAGCAGGAGGAGGAGGAGGAGGAGGAGGAGGAGGAGGAGGAACAGGGGTTAAGGTTTTGCGCCCGGGGAGGATCTGCGGCGGCAGCAGCAGCACTGCCGCCCAAGACCTTCTAGCCTCCTTGCGGGCAGTGTGGAAGGGCCCCCTGCACTGGTGGGCCTGCCCGCGGGGGAGGGGCGAGGTCGGTGCCTCTGCGCCAGGCTGTGAGGAGCCCAAAGGGCTGGCCGACGCGACTCTAACCCGAAGCCCTCTGGCTTCTGGCTCCGGGCCATCGGTCGATCCCCCGCGGCGGCCCGATCGCGGCGACGGGAGGGCACTCTGCCTCCCGAGCAGGAGCTTGCAGCCCAGGGAGGGCGTCTGGGGCGCGCCTGGGCAGTTCGAATTGCCTGTCGGTAGACTTGTGCCAAGGGGACTGGGGGTCTGAAAGTCACTGGAGAGTGTGCTTCTCGCTTGTGGGGTGCTGAAGGCACAGAGCTCGGGCGAGCGCGAAGCTGCACCACTGTTCGGGGGGCTCAGCTTGCACTCTCCTGACACTCCTGATCCACACCTGGTATATGCTCCACGTCTCTTGCAGATAATGAGGGTGCTCGAATTTTCAAGATATTCGAATCAAAAGAGATTGTGGCCTTTGGGAGTTTCTTCGAGGGCGGCCGTGGCTTTACAGTACCCAGGACACACTTCAATGGCTCTGGCTATCTGGTGGCTGGCAGACTTGGCTCCAAAACGGCAGACAGCTCGTAGCCAGCAGCCTCGAACATGTTCACAGATGTGGACCGCTCCCTGGCTCCCCCCCAACGGACCCTAGGGCATTCGACGAAGACGGAGGGGGAGGAGGAGGAGGAGGAGGTTCTGCAGGACGGTTCCCAGGTTTCCACAGGTGGGGAGCGGGAGCGGCACCCATGGGAGTGCTTGCATGGTTAGGGTTTGCTCCTACCTCGCTTCGCTTTCTCAGGGGCGAGGGCAGGCCATGCAGGCAATCCAGTGGCGAGGTACCCAAAACAGGGTAACAAACAGTGGCATGAACATAGCAACTCGGAGGTCCGCGCGGATTTTTCGGATCGGCGCTGGACCCCCCTCCCTGGCGCGCGGAGCGCGCCAGGGGCGGCGCCGGAGGCGCCGCCGGGGGGCCCCAGCGCCGATCCGAGAAATCCGCGCGGACCTCCGAGTTTTTATGTTTATGTCACTTTTTGTTCCCATTCAAAACCCGACATCTTGAATCTCCTTGGAGATGCCGTCTGGGCGTGAAGCTTGATGGCAGCCTGATAGCCGGCGTGAGTACGGGGGATGAGGGAGGAGGCGCGGCAAGCGGCAAGGACATCGACGTGCTCGGTGGCTCCAGAAGTCTGCTGAAGCCTGCTCTTCTGCACGCGCTATGGAAGCTGGGATCGCAACCATCGTCGGTGAACATATGACCCGAGAAAGCTTCCTGCATACTGGTGCTGGGGTCCCGACACCAGCACTCCCAATGTTCGAGCCCCGTGCTCGCGGGTGGAATACCATTGAAGTCAAGCTCCGTCTGGAACCCATACTGGACAAACGGATCACGTTAGCAATCCCGAAGCAAATCTAATTCATTGGCTGCGAAAGCGGGCAACCATACAATGCGGTGTTGGATGCAGTCGGAGGGTGCACCGCAGACCAGATACAGTCACAACTGATGCCGTAGCCTGCATGGGCGTGCACGAGCCTTGGCCCAACAGTCCTGCGTTAAATAAGTTAGCAGGCATCCTGTTTCTTGCTTGCTAAGGTGGGGGCTAGCGAGCACAGTCTTCGCGACACTGACATCAACAGGTTCGTAGCTTGCTCACTCAACATAGCCTCCCAGTCCAGCTCCATTCTGTGCTGGGTAGAAGCTGGCGAGTATCTAGTTAAAGGGTACTGCTGCTCATCACGTGCAGTGAAAACGAGCGGGGAGGCCAGACTCCAACGAAACCTTTTGAGCGACAGGACCATGGCCCCGAAAAGGTCTCGGACCCCAGCCCAGCACGACGGGGTAGAGCTCTTGAGGCCCTCTCCCCTTGCTGCGGGCCTGGGTCTGGGTCGGATTGGTGGCGACCGTCAACAGAAGCGTGTGCCACGGGTAAGCTGGGCCTACTGTCGCTTTACAGGTCGGGTTCCCGAGGAGCATTGAATTAAGGGTCCTACGAGCTGGGCAGCTGGGGCCTGCTATCTTGAATTCCTGCTGCTGGGCTACTGCTAGCTGGGTATTTTTCAGGCCAGTCAGTTCGTGCCCAAACAACGTCGCTTCGTAGATACCTGCGTTGTAAACCTTCCTCGTGTTTCTCCTGCTCTCCTCAGAGCTCCTAGTCTGCGCATTCTTTTCTCGACTTGTCGAGTTTGGCGGTGGCGAGTCTTCGTCGCCTCCATCTGCACTGAGGTCTGCCTGCAGCCATCCCGCAATCGAGGTTTGGGGCGGAAGGGGTCGAGATCGGTGCCGGCACGACCTCTGAGCTTGGCCTTGATTTTATCTCTCAAGTCGTTGTATTGTAGTAGGCCAGGACTTTGTGGGCCCCGGAAATGGCAGAGCCGCTTTTTCACCGTTTCCAAAAAATGTCCCTTGAAAATGGAAACGGCAAAAAAACGGCGACCGGAAACGGCAAAACAACGGCTCCAGGATTGGAACCGGAGCCGGAACCGTTTAAAAAACGGCGACGGAACCGGTAAAAAAACGGCGTCGGAACCGGCAAAAGAACGGCAAAACGGAACCGGTACAAAAACGGCCTTGTCGTTTCCAGGGCCCATTAAGGGCCAGGAGATTGGTCTTAGCAGGCGCAAGCTTGCTTTCAAGGTCGTCCTCGGTACACTTGAGCAGGCTGTTCTTGCCCTCGTTGAGTCGGCTCACCACTGTCATCACTGTTGGGTTGTGAGACGTGATGAGGTTTATCAACATGCAGAGGTCTAGGTTCGGCCTGGCCTGGGCCCACACGTCGAACGGTCCTACGGGGTATAGATGGACGAGATATGCAGCAAACCCACATCCTGCAGCAATCCCGAACACCGCTTCCCCCACTAACGTCACAATGTTTTGGAACGCTACATATCTAGGAATGGCGTCGATGCTGATGATGCCTGAGGTGGTAGCTGGGGTCCACTTTTCAGGGCCCGTCTAGCTAGCTTACTTCTGTTGACATGCTCGTAGTAGTTGAGGAGGTCGTATAAAACTATTCCTGAATGACGTATGCTGCTGGTTTTGTATGTTTCGCAATTCAGTCCCCGTTTCGCAATCCAGGCCTCCACGTGGGAGTGTCCCGCCTGGTTAGCAAGGAAGGGCCAGCGATAATGGCGCTCCCATCCTCGCGCTGAGCCTGGCGTATTCGAGCCTGCGCTCGATGAAACCCCGACATCATTCCTATTGAATGCATGGCTGGCTTTGTTGCTTTGTTGTCCTGCTGCCTGCGCTTTATCATGGGGACAGAGAGTATGCTCAAAGCTGAGATGGCATGGTGCCCAGGGCCTCGATGATGTGAAGACGCCTTGCGATCACATCAGCTTGTCCTCATTACTCAGCGCGAAGTGTCTGGGGTGCACTCCGCCCCACGTATGACGCTTTCCTAGGAGGGGAACGTTTGGAGGCCTCCTAGAGGAACTTTCGGTTAATGGGCGCCAAGACGATCCTGTCAATGATGTTCTGGGGCCTGTTGTGAATCTCCTTGGGCCCGTCAGCAACCTCCAGTTTTGAATGCGTTTTTGAAGGGCATCCAGACCAGTTACCTTTGATGTACGTAGGTTGAGGCTGGCTTCCAAGACTCCGAACTTCTGGTCCACTTGTTGGCCCGACCGATTCCACCTCGAAGTGTTTACTGGACCCAAGACAACCACTTTTATCAATTTCGACGCTGTCTCTCTAGTGTTCGGGTTCGATCGATTTCTCGACCCTGATAACACTCCTGCGGCGCTGTCGGCAATCAGCAGCTCTCCAAGCTGCTGCGTCGCCTCAGGGTGTACTGCAGTGAAGATGATCTGTTCAACTCTTCAGGGTGGTCCTGAAGGCTGGCCACGGTGTAGACAACCTGGTCATGTTCCAGCTAGAAACGTACTCTGCTCATGTCCACTAGCCCGATTCCTAAGCCACCTGAGGGGGGGCCTCCAGGGCCGTCCAACTGGCTCTAAGCTGTTGATCTCTGCTGTTGGCTTTCATCCACTTGATGACGGGAGGACTGGCTAGGGGTGTCCGTGATGAGGCTGAGGCTTCTGTCGAGGCCCTTGATGATGTAGGAGTAGGTGAAATCTAAGATGAGTTGCTTTTGCTGCTTGTTGAGAGGCTGGATGGCATCAGCGAGCAGGTGTTCGGCGTAACAAGCTGCGTGGTCACTTTGAATCCGAGGTCTGTCCTCGAGCTGGGGTCCTGTCGGTGCTTGTGCAGGTTCTACTTCTATTATGCGTAGGCATACTGGCCTGTGCGGAAACAGCGGGTAATGGTCCCAGGTTTTGACGTCCAGGATTCGCTTCCCGAGGAACTTGCTGCACAGGAAATCGTCCACGACGGATCGGGTTCTCTTGGTTCGGTAGGTCGTAGCTTGTGGGGCCACTAGCTTCATAAAAAGGCCTTGTGAAGGACATCCAAGCCCTCGATATTCGACAGTGCCAGATTGAAATCTCCAGCCACAACAATCGGAGCTTCTTCAACGTTTCGTTGGACTACAATGTCTGCTAACCGGCCTAGATTGGTTTCTCCCAGCCCTGCCTCAGGCCTTAAAACACGACTCCAGAGTCCTATATTGGGCAGGCTGGCCAGATCAAGCAAGACCTCTGTGAGCCTGCTGCGGTCAACCTTCTGAGGGATTGTTATGTTGGGCGCGCCGATATCTAGGGTGTTCCTGACAAGAATGGCTACCCCGTTGATCAGCTCACCGTTGTCGTTGATGTCTGCTGGGGCAATGCGGGCCAGCGATCCCGCATGTTGGCAGCACTGTACTTGCTGCGCGATCACGTCGTGGTTCCGTAGCCTTTGGTCCTTGACACAGATGAGATTGACCTTGAGCGAGCTCTTGTGGAGAATGGACTTCTTGAAGGCAATCCAGCTTTCGTTGAACGTCATCACGGCGATCTGCTGGCTAAAGAGTCGATGGTGGACTCTTGGCCTCCGCTGCTTAGGCCGCAGCTGCCGACGCATGCTTGAGTTTCCTGGCGGTGTTGGCGTTCCTGCTCTCCATGCAGTTGGACACCTCGTCGAGCTCCTCCGCCACGCGCCTGGACCCGCTGAAGGCGTGGGACATGTCCTCGTTATCGTCCTCGTCCTTTGCTGGCAATGCCTTGTCCTCTGCTCCTGACCCTTTAGCAGCGGGCGCCGAAGCTGCTGCAGAAGGTCCTGGAACTCCAGGCATGGGGGCTGATGCGGCTTGGATTGGTTGATCTGTGGCGGTGGCACGCTCGCGCTGCTCCTGCAACTGGTGGAACAGCTGGCCCATATCCTGCACCTTGCTGGGCAGAATTTCTGGGACGGTATGACTCCGCCTTGTGGCGCTATCGCTTGAAGGGCCGCGTAGAGCATCTAGGTACATCAGTGGACTCCGCTGCTTCTTGGGCTTTCGCTGTAGCTGCCATGGCCAATTGAGCT